GTCCAAAAACATGTTGAGGTTAATTGGTGATTCTAAATTGTCCGTAGGTGTGAATGTGAGTGTGCTTGGTTGTCTGTCTCCAAGTGAGGCCCTGTGATGGACTGGCGACCTGTCCAGGGTGTCCCCTGCCTTCGCCGTAAGTCCAGCCCCCCCGCAACCCTAATGAGGATTAAGCGGTGTATAGAAAATGGATGGATGAATGACAACAGATTTACAGGCTCACAGCGAAAGCAAATCTTGATCTTTGTAACCTTTTAATCCGTATTTCTAGTTGAATTTATTAACAGAGTATCACTTGAATTACTCAGGGACATTCCTACTTGGTGAGCTGTTCTGATTTCAGTCTTTATGGAAACACTCTGATGTGTTTGAAATGTTTTAAGTGGAAAATGAAGCGAGTGTGACACTGGAGCAGGTGAACAAACAGGTGGAGCAGGCGAGTCGAGACGTGTCCACGTGAGTGTCGCTCAGGTGTGTCATCAGCTGGTCGGACAGGTAACACCTCCCCCCTCCTGCCCAGCGCCGGCCGGACCGGTCGGACCTTCATTCCTCCCTCAGTGTAGAGTTGAGGATATAAAATGTGGCAGAGACGGATCAGAGCGTCACACCGGAGCCTGGCGGACGCTGCTGATCCTCTCTGGTCCAGTGGTTCTAGACAGTTCAACAGTAGTAAGGCCACATTTGTGAAATGTTTAGGACCACTTGATCAGGGTGAAGGACCTGACATCGAGGAAACACCTGGAGGATTTTGGACGCCGCGTTCGTGTCGTTTTATGGTTTAAGTGACAGGCAGAACATCAGGTGGGCTGAAAGAAGTTTGTTTTTACTGACTGAAGCTCAGAAATGTGTCAGCCTGAACTTTTCAATGGCTGAAATATTCCTTTACTTCAGTAACAATAGCACTGACAAGAAAAAGTCCATTTTTCACAATTGTGCTCAGCTACAATTAAGGATTATGGTACTTTATGTTCTTAAAATGTGAAAAGTGAAGTTTTGCAGCAAAATGTAATTAAGAAAATGCAAAGCTCTGTTGGAACTTTTTGGGGTAATTTTGCCTCTTTGGGCCTTTAAACTGTTAATTTCTACAACATTTCCTGTATTGGTGTAGCTGAAAACCAAACAGTGTCATCTTTAACAATGCTTTCTAAAATTTGGAGCTGCAGCGATTAGTTGATCAATTAATAAGTCAGTCAACTAAATTTAATCTGCATTGAATTTATTATTTAATATTGGCTGCTGCTCACACTCACATATTGATGTTTTTCTGTGTCATCTATCTTTGTTGTGATGTTAAACTGAATATTTTTAGACTGTTGGTCAGACAAACAACAGTCGATATAACTTTGGCTGCAGTTTAAATATAGTATTTTATATCCAAAATATTCTAAATATTATATTTAAATTTGCATAAGTGTACTTTGCCTTGTGTTTATAATTGTATTGAAATCCCAGCTCTTGTCTTTTCTGATGGTTCAGCTTCCATTTTATTTACTTTCAGCATCCTTCATTCATCTGTAATTGTTCACTACGACTACAAAGCCAACATTTCTTTTTTTCTTTTTTTTTATACTGAAAATTACTTTGTTTTTTGTTTTTTTTTAGTCAGTGTAAAACACTGTTAAAGGTGCTGTTTGTTGATTTGCAGCCAGAGATGGGAGTAGCTGAATCTTTCTAAGGAGAAATGATGTGATTAATAGTTTTTTGGTGTTTTTAATGTGTTCATTTTTTTGGTTTCCTCTGAGTGTGTATTATCTATGTGAGCTGCACTTGTGACTTTTAAATATGGTTTTATTTCATTTAAAGCAGCCTCCACTTCCTCCTTGTTTCTATGTGTATGTATCTTCCATATATGTGTTGTTGTTGTTTATTGTGGCTGGAGATGTTTCACACAAATTAAATAAAGCTAAAGTGTCCATTAAACTTGTCAGTTTTATGTCACATCTACTGTATGAAACTTAAAATGGAGTTGAATTAATTTACCATAACTTTCTGAGCTTTTTAAAAGTCTCGTTTTGTACCACAGCATCATCAGCTCACACACGAACATACATGATCGCCTTCTTTTCTTTGACTTGATAAACAGCTGAAGCATCAAGCAGCAGGACTGGTTCTGTCTCCTATTTGATGGACTGCAGGTAGTTTGTTCAGATGGCACAGCGCGTGCTTCATCAATTATTTACCTTCTGACATATCATTTGTGAGCTTGTATAGCTTCATTAACCTCAATATGTCCTGCACAGCAAACAGCTCAGCTGCTGCACAGACTTACAGTTTTTGAAATCGTTGAAAACTAACCTGTCGTGTTCAGGTTGATGGAGGCACCATGAAAAGTGTTGCTGCATTTTTATTTTCAGCAGAAACTCAAAATATCGTGTCCTTCAGAGAATGTCATTATTTCTTCTGGTGCATAAAGTGGATTATTGCAGGTGTTCAGTTCTGCTGCCTAAATTCAACAGTGTTTACAATAATAGCATTATTGCAAGAATTATCTTATCTAATCATCCATCCATCCACTGTACACAACTTAATCCTCAGTAGGGTCGTGGGGGGCTGGAGTCTATCCCAGCTGACTTAGGGTGAAGGCAGGTTCACCTGGACAGGTAACCAGCCTATCACAGGACTACACTTAGTCCTCACTAAGGTCGTGGGGGGCTGGAGTCTATCCCAGCTGACTTAGGGTGAAGGCAGGTTCACCTGGACAGGTAACCAGCCTATCACAGGACTACACTTAGAGACAGACAACCAAGCACACTCACATTCACACCTACAGACAATTTAGAATCATCATCATGTTTTTGGACTGTGGGAGGAAGCCGGAGAATTCGGGGAGAACCACGTTGCACGAGGAGAACATGCAAACTCCACACAGAAAGATCCCGTGGCATCTTAACCAGGACACAAACCAGAGATCTTCTAGCTGCGAGGCAATGGTGCTAACCGCTGAGCCACCTCGCAGCCTCTTATCTAATCATTAAAATAAATTTTAAAAATCAGGCAACAGACAAGGAAAACTATGAGGCACTACATATATTGATAGGGGTCTGTGCTGTCTGTTTTTATGTATGACAGAAATGTCAGTGTTACGTGAAGCATCAGAAGATTGCAAACAATAATAATTTTATAAATCAAATAATAATCAAAAACCTGGTCTCCCACTGCAGTGTATTTAGGAACAGACCGGTGTATTGGTTAAGTTGTTTTATTCTCCTTTTGAACTTCATGATTTTTGCTTATTCTTTTAAAGTCTTGCATCATCCAAATTATCAAAAGATGCAGACAGTATGTAAAAAAAGAAAAAATTCTTATTGGTGTCTCTGAGCCTGAACATATAGACCAACAACTGGCTGACTGGGCAGCTCATTGACGACATAAAGCACTGAAATATGAAAATTTTAATATTATGTCATTGTGTTTCTTTCACAGCCAGATACCAGATTTGCAAAAAATAACTGCCTTGTATCGCTGTCAGCCACACTTTCATGTTCAGTCAGTATGAACAGTCATTGAAAGTTCAGGATTAGTTCTTTGCAGGGACAAAAAAATTCAGCTGATCTATCACACATATTTCATTAAAAATTATTTTGAAAACCAGGAGTCATCAAATGTTTCTGTATCCTGCTGCTTCCTCTGTCCTCCATCAGTGGAAAAAAGATGACTAAAAGAAAATAAGATGAGTGGAATATAGCTAGATGTTCCAATTTGATTTTAAAGTACTGTTACCGGTAGAAAAGACTTCTGATGGTGTTTTCTGGTTTATTTTGCCAGTGGAGGTGGCATTTAACTCAATATTTCTCAACAGCTGCCCTGAAGAATGAGTTCAGATTTTCTGTGGTTAGGTTTCATGTTTCTCTTCACAAATATCAATGTAATGATGCTTATTAGTAATATAAGAAGCACCGTTGGTCGTCTTCAGCCTGACTAAATTAAAAACAGATCAATTGTTTCATGATTCTCGTAAATGTGTATTTCTGAAGTATCATTTTGTCACATTGGGGCTGCAAGGTGGCTCGGTGGTTAGCACTGTATGGATGGATGGATGGATTTTGACATAAATGTGGTTCCACCAAACTGCTGCGGCACCATTAATCTCATCAGATGGTCATGTAGCTCCATCTAGTGGACAGACAGGAGAACTTCATCTTCTGTTGTGAGATGTTTCTGATCCTGACTGGATTCGGACAGAAGTGATGTGTACTGTAGTAAACTATAGCCTTCAAAAAATACATTTTCCTGAGTTGTTCAAGTGACGCGATTCCAGCATTTTTTTTTTTCTCATAAAATAACGGTAGTTCGGTGGTTAGCACCGATGCCTCGCAGCTAGAAGATCCCCGGTTCGTGTCCCGATGAGGACACTCAGGATCTTTCTGTGTGGAGTTTGCATGTTCTGCTGGTGCAGCGTGGGCTCTCTCCAGGTTCTCCGGCTTCCTCCCACAGTCCAAAAACATGTTGAGGTTAATTGGTGATTCTAAATTATCCGTAGGTGTGAATGTGAGTGTGCTTGGTTGTCTGTCTCTAAGTGTAGCCCTGTGATAGACTGGTGACCTGTCCAGGTGTCTCCTGCCTTCACCTTAAATCAGCTGGGATAGACCCCCGTAACCCTAGTGAGGATTAAACAGTGTATAGATAATGGATGGATGGATGGATGCTGAAACATTAATTACATAGCCATCAAAGCAAAAGGTGAAGAATCTTACATTTAAAACTGATTTTTCCTTGTGTTTACACTTCTCCTCACTACATAATTCTTTGTGTGATGTCTTATCGCTGTGATGTGTTCAGGTTTGCTGCAGAAAACAGCAAAATAAAGGAAAAACTTAACTATTTGTGATATTAGTCAGCTCCCTTCATAGTAAACACGTTACTATGGTTACAGTCATAGCCCGCGCACACGCTCGCGCACACGCTCGCGCCCAGAGGCGGCGGCTGGTACCGGTGACCTCTGACCCCGCCCACCAGGCGGACGTGTTCGAGGACTACGGCGGTTGTTCTCCGCAGACACAAACCGTTGCTCAGCTTGCAGCGACTCCCTGCTGCCGCTACAGAGAAATATTCAGATTCTGGGAGCCGCAGAGTCCGGCCGCCCTCCGGACACTACGGTAAGGGTACAAGCGAGCCGCCCCCCGGCTGGGTCCGACTTGTTCTGTTCTTTATCCAACATGAAATGCGAAACTGTGTGTAGAAATAACTTTTGTTTTTTTTTTTAACAGTAAAACTTATTGTTATTTAACAGCTGGAACTTTTCATGTAGTTTTATGTGCCTGTGAAACATCAGTCCCGCAGTGCTACTTTCGCTGCCGAACTTCGTTTGAAAAACTGTGATTTTTAAGTTTACCTGCTCTTCGGCACAGTAAACTTCTGTATTCAACTCAGCTAAAGACTTTCTGAACCCCTCTATACCGCACATTCACTCGGCATGACTTTAGTCTATGTATAAGTCAGGAAGTATCTGTTTTCTTGCTACATTAGCGTCTGATTTCTCTCAAATACACCAGCCTGTCAGTTAACTCGTCAACATAAAATCATTGGCGTTTCAGTGAAATAAGAGGTGTTTTAATAAATCTTTATTCTGCCGAATTTACTAGACAACGGCATTTTTCGACGGTATTTAAAGAAGCCTTCCACTCTGTGTGTGCTTTTGCTGCAGCATACAGAGACACTAAATTCGGTGGGATTTAAAGGGAGTCTGGTTTGGTGGACACAGGACGCGAGCGCTCTGCTGGGCGCGGTGCCAGTCCGGTGGGTGTGTCAGTGACTGAAGAAAAGTCACATTTTTAGTGCTTCCAGGCAGAGATTGTGAAACAATCCTTCAGTTTATGGTGATTTTAGCTTTGACTCTTACATTTTATTTCTTAATCCAAAACAGATCAGGCAACTGTACTGAAATCAATCAATCAATTCATCAGTCCATAAGTTAACATGGGGTTTTCACAACATGATCATTAAATGTGGTCCATTTTTGTCAGGTTTTTTAAGTGTAAAAGTAGTATTCATATCTCAGTAATTGCAGAAATGGATAATAATTCAACTGTGTTTTTGTGCTTTATTTTTACTGTTAACACAATCCAACATAGACTTTTTTTTGGACGTTTGCACACACAATATATAATATTTAGTATGTATTGCCTTTTAAACACTAATTATCCAAGCTTCATTACATCATGTCAGAGCAGACTGTTGCCTGCTGCTTGTTTCATATTGACAGCGATTGGCAAAAATCTATGTTTTTCACTGCAGACGCAACAGTTTGCAGACAGATTTCTTTTTTCAGCAGTCTTCTTAGTTTTTATTGCACATTAGCTCCATACTTATTCTTCAGGCCCTCTTACACTATCACCTGGTTTTTATCATTTCTTTGTCTGCATGCCTAATGTTATGTGATCCCATCTAAAAGTCACAGTATCGCTAACAAATTAAATGACAGAAATATGTCTGTTTAATGCAGTGCAGTTAGGCAGAAACCATTTCAACACAAGCTGAACTTTAAACCGATATGAAAGAGGATTTAGTGCAGGACTGCTGAATTTGACTGTTAGTTTTTACAAGATGTTTGTAATAAACAGCTCCTTGTTCAACAAGTGTTTGTTACATTTCTCATACGTCTCCTTACAGACAGATTTTGTTGTGCTATTTATCGAATATATTGAAAGATTCAGATTCGTTTTGTTGTCATTGCAACGAGTGCAACGAAAAGTAAGGTGCAGACCTTTCAGTGCATTTTTTATTTTTAAAAATGTTCAACTATCACTTATGCTATGTGCCCTATCATTGGGACTTGAACTAAAAGTCAGATCAAATAAAATGTTGCTTTTTGAAGTTTTGTGCCCAAGACCTCAGTTTAATTATGATTTAACTGCAGTCCTCCAACATTAAGACATGCATACAGGTATACGGCATATACTGTAAATAGAAGTACAGAACTCGAATGAGAAAGTTTCCTATAATTCACAAACACATAGAGCTTCACAGAAATCGTTTTTATTCAGCTTGTTTCCTGTCTGAATCAGTCTGAACTGATTCAACAGAAAACTCTGCTTCACCTCATCTGGCATGAAGGAATTTCTACACCCAGTCTGTCGTCACACCGGAGAGATGCAACACTGAATTCCTTCCTTTTCCCAGCAGATATACACCTCCTCCTCTTTGACCACATCCAGCCTCTCCCACATTTACCTGGAAGTTTCACTGACAACCTCGTGGAGCGATTAGTCGACAGAACATTTTCCCTCCGGTGCTGTAGAGCAGTGCACTGCTCTTTGTGCTCATATTTACAGCCAGGGGTCAGTTTATCAGGAACACTTGGATAAAATAACAGTCCTGCAGTGAATTCTCTTTCATGAAGCTACTCTGTTTCCGTTTTTGTTGTAATTCTTTCATTTTTTTGGTCGTTCTTCAGTCTGTGCTGTACTGCATGATACCGACTGGTGCTTTTGGCATTTTCTGAGGGTGCATTCAGCATTCACTTGTTGCATTAAATGGTTTTCTATGCATTGAACACAAACTCTGAACTAGTTATTCTTCAAGGGCTGCAGCTAATAACTTGTTATTTTAATTGTCGATCAGTTTGTTAAATATTTTCTTTATTTGTTGTTTAGTCGATAAAAATGTCTTGTTTTCTCCACAACCCTGAGATATTCACCTTATTGTCATAGAGGAAGAATGAAACCAGGAAGTGTTCACATTTAGGAAGATGTAATCAGAAGATTTTTTAGAAACGTTTTTCTTACTTAAAAATATACTCAGAACAATTAATCGATTGTCTAAATAGTTGTTGATTAATTTAACAGTTGACAGGTAATCAAGTAATCGTTGCCGCTCTGCCTTCTTTATGTATTTCCTGTCATTTCCTGCTACTGATCAAACTCACAGTTGTTTTAAATCGCTGATGATGTCAGGGATGGTGTTGTAGCATGACACTCTGATCTGACCTCAAATCTGCTGCTGTTGGCTTTGGGCCCAAAATAATGCAGAAGCAAACAGACTGAATGAATGATAGATAAGTACCAACAAACTGAAGCTGGAGCACAGTTCAGCTGTCTGGACTCGACACAAAGACTCATTCATATTGTGGAATACCACAAACCACTCACACACTCCACGTACCACACATTGATTTAACAGTCACAGGACTGCAGTGACTCAACACTAAAACACTGAACATCTAATCATAACTGATTGGTCAAGAAAAATCCTGCAGCAGTCACATTTTACTGTTTAAAACAGGACGTGATAGATATACGTATTTCATAACATCCCTCAGTTTTACACAATCTGCAGCTCCGTGGAAAGCAAGAATCATTCAGTCATAATCGGAAAGAGAAAAATGAGGATACGAAATTTATTTGTCAGCGAACAGAAGGACAAAAACTCCTGAAGTAAATAGAAACCACCTAAATAAAAATTCCACAGAAGAGTTACGGTTCTACTGTTTATATTTATGTATATTGTGTAACCTATTTAATTTACACATGGATTTAAATTTGTAAACAGTGTAGAGATAATGGATGGATGGATGGATGGGTGGATGGATGGATGGATGGATGGATGGATGGATGTTTGGATTAAAACTGTTACTGGGTTAAAGTAATCAAAACTATTGAACCCACCACAGCTGAAATTATGAGTTGTTGGTCAGAAAAATAATCAGCCAAGTTGTGTTTTAGGAAAAAGGGCTAAACCTGCTGTTTGTCAAAACCTGAGACCAAGATGTCTTATTTGACTTGGTTTTAACCCCCCCACAGTTCAAAGGAAACAAAACAAATTAAAACATGGATCTTATCTCTATGCAGATTCCTGTCATCATGGCAGCCAAAACCAAATGGGAGGCAGTGAAGGACCGCATGACCACTACCACCTCTGCAGACCCGGATGCCACACTGGAGGCAAATTTGGAGAATGCAGACCCTGAACTCTGCATCCGACTTCTACAGGTACGACTGCTGGGAGCTGCATGAGACTACAACCAAAAAGAAGCTATGTTTTTGGGAAGAATGAGTCTTTCAGAGGTCCTGTGTATGTCAATAACTCTGATTTATTGATCACACAGTAACTGAAAACTGCTTGCTTCCTTCAGGTTCCCACGGTGGTGAACTACTCAGGTCTGCGGCGGCGGTTGGAGGCCAGCGATCAGTCCTGGATGGTGCAGTTCCTGGAGCTGCATGGTCTAGACCTGCTGATGGAGGCACTGGAGCGTCTGTCGGGTCGTGGCTGCGCTCGCATCGCCGACGCTCTGCTGCAGCTGACCTGCGTCTCCTGCATCCGAGCCGTCATGAACTCGTCTGCAGGACTGCACTTCATCCTGGACAATGAGGGCTACGTCAGGACCCTGACCCATGGTAGGTGGAGGGATGATAAACACAGATTCATGAAGGAATCACTAGATCCCAGCAGATCCTGACAGAAGATCAGGATATTTATGTTCTGTAGGTCTGAAGTTTTGTTCTGTAACAGTTAAAATTCCTTATTTGTCTGATCCTGGTGCTTCAGTGTAGCTCTGTCTCTTTGAAGCTCCTTTCCCAAAAGCCCAATCTGCGCTTATTGCTTCAGGAAGCTTTTGAGGCTATGAAAACAAACAACAGTGGCCAGATTCCATCACTGGAGTAAAAAGTCATTGTTGTGTATTTCCGCCTGCTGTGTTTCCCAGTTATGTGTCTATTGTGTATCTATGCGTCACGCTAACTTTGCACTCTTTACCTCCATTGTTGAGACTCAGGGAAACAACCAGCGTGTTTGAATGAATATGTTGGTGATTAGGTCAGACAGCAACTATCTCTGAATGGGGATCCCTAATGCATTTAGCAAAATGTCTGTATCAGGTCTGAACAGGCTCCAGGTTACAATGATCCATGTAAAAATGTGCTTTTCTGGAAAGCTGCAGCAAGCTTGTTTTTTTGCCCCAATTTACACTGTTTAGTTTTACTCTTTAGTTCCCTGAATCTCTACAACAGAAGTGGCTGAAATAAACTACAACTGGTAGATTTCAGAAGTCCTCAAGTTTCCATCTTCAGTATCGCAGTTTCTTTTGTTAACCTAAAACAAAGATTTTCTCAGTGGAGTTAGCTTCTGGTTCTGCCATAAAACTTAATGTCACATTTAGACATTTTAGGAAAAAAATGTTTGTTTTAATGCTTTTGCATTTAACCTGCACCTTTGTAATTTTCAAAACTTAAACCTTATTCACAAGTAGAATCTTGACTTGTTTTACTGGTGGAAACACAAATCTGAAGCTGTTTTTTAAGCTGTCTTTAGCTTCTCCAAGTCCCTGCCAGATTTGAGGAGACTGTGGCTTTTGAAGTAGGCGTGGTGTGATGTAGGTGTGGATGGGAAAAAGACAGTGGAATTGGCTTTATTTTTATGTTTACATTCTCATTCTGTTAATCAAACCATCAGATCTGCAGCCACGATGAGCATGTCATTAAAATGCAGCCCTGCAACATTTTCTGCATTGGCAGGGTCACACAGAAGTTTTTTTTTTTCCTTTCGCCTCCATTTTTATGTTTTGTGTTTATACATGTTCTTTCCTTTTCTCTTCACCTTATTTAACAAACAGTGTGTCTCTCCTGCCAGCAGTTTCGGTGCCATTTCACGTCATATAAGGTCCTACATTTCTGAGTGTGTCTGGCTTTTGGTTGTCTCACAGTGAGATCTGGGACCACAGTTTGGACAGATGACTACAGATTTGACCATGCTTCCCTCATGATTGCAGGGGCTGCATGAAGATGCTTTATACTGAAATGAGTTCTGTTTGCTACACTGACTCTTGCTTTGGGGTGTAACAGTTAGCACTTCCATATACAATCTATGAATAAGAGCAGTTGGTTGGGAGTAGGTTCTACTGAAACAGGTGATCACAGACCTGAAATACAGGACTAAACTCTAAACTCCTGGAAAATCCAACAATGTTTGGGTAGAACTGTTCAGATTCCAACACTACCACAGGTGGTTGCTGTCAGAGGTTAAACCTCAGCTTGCTTCATTTGTTTTTTTTCCTGCTTTCACAGCATCAGCTACAAGTAGGCACTCGCTCTCAAGCAAGCCAAAGCTGGTTTCATCCACACTTCTGTAAACTTTTCTTCAACTTTCAGTAAGGTCTTGTCCTAAACTTTATCTATCCCACTTCCTGCCTACATGTCCTGTCATACACGAGAAAACACACTCAGCACAGCATACGCACTTTATTAGGAACAGCATTCTAACACTGGGCCAGCCTCTCTTTGCTCTCACTTGTTGATGAGAAGTTAGAAACCTTCCCCATTCTACCAAATATCAAAGGGGTTTTACTGGATCCAGATCTGCTGACTGGGGAGGTCACTGAAGTCCATTGAACTTCTTCATGAAACCAGTTTGACTTACGCTTTATGACATGGTGCATTATCCTGTTCGAAGTAGCCATTGGAAGACCCTAAACTGTGGCCATAGAGGGATGCACATGGTCAGCAGCAACACTTAGGCAGACTATTGCATTCCGACCAGGACTGTTGGTATTAAGGGTCCCAAAGTGTCCAATAAACATTCCCCTCACCAGCAGCAGCAGCTTGGAGCCTGCTAGGAAATACACTAGGCAAAGCAGCTAGAGTGTTTGAACCCCTCGCCTCTACTTTCAGTTCCTCCTGGGGGATCCCAAGTTTATCTAGAAGGGTCATAACCTGGTAACCCTATGTTGTCTGGGTCTGCCCAGCAGTCTCCTCTGAGGTTGCACTTCTCCAAATACCTTCTATCAAGGCATCCTTGCAGCAGTTCTATTCTGAGCTTTTCCTCAATGCCTGAGCTCATCTCACGCCCTGAATGAGAGTCAACAGACCCCATGGAGGAAAGTCGTTTTGACCACCGGCATCCTCAGTCTCCTTCTTTCAGTCACTATACAGAGCTCATGATCTGGTAGGGATGGAAAAGTAAATTAACTGTTAAAGTAAGTGCTTTGTTTTACACCTCAGCTCCTTCTTCATCGTGACAAGCTGGTATCATCACAATACAAGCAGCTTCAGTCTGCCAGTTGATCTCTCACTCCTGTTTATCTTCACGGTGAACAAGATATACTGGAAGTCCTTCTCTTGCAGCAGCTGTCCGGTTGTGGGTGCATCGTGGATAGTGGGTTAGTCGTGGTTCTCTTTCCCGTCCAGCAGCTTCATGAGCAGCTTTCCTCTCTGATGTCCCCCCTTCATGTGTGTCTCCTCAGCTCTGGACACGTCCAACGTCATGGTGAAGATGCAGGTGTTTGAGCTGCTGGCAGCTCTCACTCTGTTTGACCCTCAGGGACACCTTCTAGTGTTGGACGCCCTGGACAGCTATAAGGTACCAGCTTTTAGTCGATTACCCCCTTTTTCCACATTTGCATACTTGTTTCCTTCACTCCTCTTGTAGTTGCATTGTTAGTGTAACATATTTATATCTGGCTATCTTATTTTTTAATTAAGTGAAACAAATCAGCCTTCTCATCAATAAGGACAGTGACATTAACTCTTGTCTTCATAAAATGTACACTAATGATCTTTTATAATAATAATCCTGTTGTTTTTGTTATTGTTTACACCAAATCTATGTTTTACTGTGTGTTTTCACTATTTGACATGATTAAACTAAATGTGTGGAGAAAAATGTGGCCCACCACAAAAGCTATCACCTATCAGCTATTGCTAAAGCCACATGTTACTGGCTGGCTGTTTCCCAGTTTTTCACCTGGTGACAAATTCTGGTCCAAATAGCATCATATTTGTTTCCATTTTTACATATGGTGCACATTTTACATTAGGTTTGCTCAACAATGTGTTCAGATGTGCTTGATTATAATGTCACTTACTTGGTCTGCACATCCAGGAGGAATCTTAAAAATGTTTCACAGTTTTAAAAATGTATTTTACCGCAAGCTTAATTTTGCCGAAAATGTCCAACTCAATGCACTGTCGGTTTCAAGCTGTGTCCCAATATACCTGCTCTCAAGTCTGGCTGTTTTGTGGCAGTTTTGTTTTTTACTCTCTAGTGAAGACCATCATATACCTATCAAAGAAAATATGTATTTATGCATCTGTAACACGAGTGTAAATAGTGTTTCAGTTAAACATGACAACTGTGACATGGCAGAAAAATTCTGTGAAGACAAGCTGTCCATTTTGAGTTGTGAAACTTTGTTTTTGTTCACTTTTCAGTGAGTGCATAACATCAGGGCTTGGCCACAGATAAGACTCAGAACAAACACCTCAGATCAGTTTCTGATATGTGGCGTGCTGTGACCGTTGACTTTGCTCAGGCTTGTTGTAACCTGCTCTGAAACCAGTGCAGAGACAGGATGTCTTACAATCCTTCATGGTCTTCATGTTGGCTCGAACTTTCCCAGCTATCGGTTACCTTTTCCAAACAATAGCTGTCTGCTTTCTTGTAAACTGTGCAGAGAAAGCATGATTAAACAAATCCTTTCAAACACAAAAATCCTGAGGTGTTTTCTAACTGCAGTTCTCTGGAAAACATTTTCACCATTCATTCCCCTTCATTATTGAGCATCATGTTTTCTTGTGTAAACTTCGGAGTCATTTTCTTAAATTCCTTATTGTTAGTATAATAAGGACGTCAGGGCAGGTTGAAATAAGGTTTACTGATGCGTCAGGAGAAGTGACACCAACACAACAGCAGTTCACGCATGCAATGGCAGCATCAATTCTAAAGATCCCTCTCACACTTTACGTCTTATATCCTTCCTTCAGTGGGAGTCATATCCAGACTTATGGGAGAAAGGGAAACCAAGATAAGTCGGCGCCTGGGTATCATCTGGCCTTGGGAGGTTCAGACTGTTCTGGCCCATCTTTCTGCCATGAGGTTTACATGAGGTTAAGAATCTATAGAGGTTACAGAGCGCACATTTGTTACAAGCACTACATTGACCCAAAAGGTCAATCAGGGTTCAATATCTTCTCTAAAAGATTAACTCTAAATAAGGAAAGTAATTTTCCTTCATAAGTATGAAGTGTAAAGTCACCTGAAGAAAAAGAAAACAAACTTGAATCTTTCTTTACATTTAAAGTTGAAAACGTAGCTGAAAAATAATGCATGACTGGGTTTTGGTGAGTACAGAAACGTCTCTGAGTGGCTGTGTTTCCTGTGTTTGTGTTCAGAGCCTAAAGAAACAGCAGTATCGCTTCAGCCTGATCATGAACGAGCTTCACGGCACAGATAACGTCCCGTACATGGTGACGCTGATGAGCATGGTCAATGTGCTTGTGCTGGGGAAAGAAGACCTGAGGAAGAGGGACCGACTGCGACAGGAGTTCATTGGTACGACAAATTGATCAATACAACACTAATTGTACTGAAAAAACTTAGTCAAGAAATGACAATAAAAGTAATTCCCCCATTGTTTACAGAAATAAGACAAAAAGCATCAGTAGCAGCAGTAGTAGTAGTAGTAACGGGTGCCATATCACTATAGTGATTGCAGTTACGGCTGGTTGTTATTATTGTGGTATCGCAAAGCGTTGCTACATGGATGAAAGATGGTGGTGCTTCTACCACTTGGTAAAAGGAAGTTGATAGTTGAGATAAGAATTAGCTAATAACAGATGTATCAGTATTGGTATAAACATCAGACAATGAAAAACGAAGACTGAAGTGCAGTATGTCTGTGAAGGTTCTCAGTCATCCAGGTCATGGTTATTCTGGTAGATTAATTGTAGCAACTGGACTTGCTTGAGTTCCTTGAAGACGTTTCACCTCTCATCCAAGAGGCTTCATCAGTTCTCACTGACTAGTTGGGAGGATATAATATTGGTTAGGATATAAGTATCTGGAACTCCCAACTAGCCAGTCAGAACTGGCGAAGCCTCTTGGATGAGAGGTGAAACGTCTTAAAGGAATTCAAGCAAGTCCAGTTGCTACGCTTGTCAAAGATTGTTTTTTATTAGCAGTTTATTCACCAGAAACTAGTCACAAATTATTTTTTATACTGTTCGAAGTGTGCACTGTCCTAACTTGAACATTAATTGTCACAAATATTAAAAAATTACAAAATGTAAGTGAATATTTATCCAGGGTTTTGTATAGAAGCTTAATATTGACCGATATGTCATTATTGGTTATTGTATTCATTCTGTTGGGTGATAAATGGTGTTGGTATATTGTAAGTGGTTGCACGGTATAGTTGTTATTGGATGGTTATTAAACAGTTGCTGATGTTGGTAAAAATCTAATAAAATTTAAATACTTTTGTTCTGTTGCTGTGGAAACAGTGGAATCAAATTCAAATTGATGAAATGAAATGAAATGAAATGAAAAATGAAATGAAAAATACTTTATTCATCCCAGAAGGGAAATTCAATTGATGATGTGTTTTTGAAGGAGGTGTTATCACTGTGATGTTGTTTCAGGCCTGCAGCTGCTGGATCTGCTGCCCAGACTGAGGTACTGGTTTTACCTTAACTTTAATCAACAATCAATAGATTTCCATCAGTTGGTGACATCTCTGTCTTCTCTGTCTCCAGGGAGACTGAGGACGAGGACCTCAACATTCAGTGTGATGTGTTTGAGGACTCCCTGACGATGGATGACGAAGAGATGGAGCGGCTATACGGAGGCATCAACATGAGCAGCCACCAGCAGGTCTTCACCTCACTCTTCACCAAGGTAACTACACCTTTAACTCTACTCCACCTGTAAGATGTTTGTGTCTAGCCCAAATGTCCTCACCTCATTCTTTACCACACTGAATTTCCTCTGATACACCTGCAGAAAAACTCTGCATCTACTCCTGCAGCACCTCCACCTCATACATTATCTTCTGTCACTTCAGTACCTGCAGATGGACCTCAACACCTTCACTCATTCTATATTTAACTCCACCTTCAACATTAGCACCTCCACTTTCAAAACAATAACTCTTTCAATCCTAACACCTTTGCTATGCTTTACCTTCTTGAACCTTAAACACTGTCTTGACATCAATACATAATCTTGCAAAATCTCCATGTTCTACTCCAACATCTTCTCTGCCTCAAACACCACATTCAAAACCTCCACTTACACACAGGTTCACCTCCCTTTTCACCAATGTACCCACAACTTATCTCCACCCTTAACACCTCCACATTCACCTTCAGCATATTTCTCGTATACACCACTTTTAACACCACATTCAATCCCAACATCTTCATTTAGTTCATCACCTTCATGGAACTCACGTTATCACCTCCATCTTTCCGCAGTTACATCTGTGTGACACCTTCAAAACATTAATCTCTCTCATTTATGTTCTCCACCTTTACCATTGACTCATTAACATCTCAATAATAAATACCTTTGCCTCCAGCTTTACCACCAGCACCTCCATGTGTAGTCTCCAGCCTTTACAAAGTCAGCATTTATCTCTGCCAACCCTGTTTCCATCTTTACCGCCCTCTTTTTCTGTTGTTAGTGGTTGTTCTCTGCTGTGAGTTTGAATTGGATAACGGGAGACATTTTTCTTCTATCTCCCTAACTGTCCTCCCCTCACTCTCCAGGTATCTCGTAGTCCGTCCTCTGTTCAGCTGCTTTCCATCCTTCAAGCTTTGTTGTTGGTGGATCCAAGCAGAGCTCAGGTCTGGCTGGCGCTGGAGCTGCTAACTGAAAAAGCCACCCTGCTGGCACAGGAAGGTAAGTCTGGAGTAAGACTCTAACAGTAGATTAATCGTCAGGATGTTGTTGTCAGAGTGCAGGCCTTCATCTGGGACACAAATCAGATGAAGTTCACATTATACTCTGTCCAACTGACTTGGGTGGGCTCATTTCTGCAGATCTAATTCCATTCTTTGTAGAAGACTCATTACTTTCTAACCATATCTTTTCATATTGTAGTTTCTAACTGGGACCAGTGTAATAAGAGTGAATTTAACTGGTGTGTTTGAATGTCTTGTAGCTGAATTAGATTCTGTCACCTGTCTGCTGGAGAGGCTCCTCCCTCAAAAGTCCCTCTCAGCCAGTCACAGGATCCGAACCGTCGACAGAGCGGTACAGACTCGTCTTCCAGACAGTCCTACTGGCCAATCAGAGGCACTTATTATAGACGCTTTCACAACTTTATCAGCACCTACTCGGGAGGCTTCCACTGCCACACCTGGTGCTCCACCTCCACCTCCTCCCCCTCCACCCCCACCCTTACCTGGTGTGGTAGCGCCTCCCCCTCCTCCTCCACCTCCATTGCCTGGTGTAGGAGCTCCTCCCCCACCGCCTCCACCTCCATTACCTGGTGGAGGAGTTCCTCCCCCACCTCCTCCACCTCCATTACCTGGTGTAGGAGCTCCTCCTCCACCCCCTCCACCTCCTCCTGGGATGGGTGTTCCTCCCCCTCCACCTCCTCCAGGTGGCATCATCGTAGCCGAGGCAGTTCAAGGTCTTGGCAGGTCATATTACAGCGCCGCCCCACCCACAAGCACTGTCCCCTGCCCCACCCTCCGAATGAAGAAGCTCAACTGGCAGAAACTGCCGTCCAGAGCGGTAACAGGTCAGTGTTCAGAGGAATTGTGTACTGTGTTGGGCTTGCCCAGGACTCTGGTGTGATGTGGATCAGAGTTGGTTTATGTCCACCTCTCTGTCTGTCTGCAGCTCATCAGTCCTTGTGGACGTCAATGTCTTCAGGCTCAGTGGAACCAGATTACTGCAGCATCGAGCAGCTCTTCAGTCTTCCTCCTACGGAGACCAAGACAAGAACCAAAGCCAAGACAGAGCCCAAAGAGGTGCCACAGTTTTTACACTCACCCCTCACCTTACAGTCAGCTTAGTGTTGAAGGCAAAATGATATGTTGTCAATGATGAGTGAATCCAATTGCTTCTTTGTGTCTCTATCCACAGATTTCCTTCATTGATGCCAAGAAAAGCCTCAACCTCAACATCTTCCTCAAGCAGTTCAAATGGTGAATCTTCCAGCCAATAGAAACACACTTCTACAGTGACATCACCTTCAGTCCTAAGACTGATTTGTCTCACCTGTCCTTCACCTGCGTCTGGCCTGTCTGGTGTCAACACTTTCATCTGTCCTCTGTTCTTACCTGTCCTACCTGCTCTTAAACTATCCCAGATGGTCCAACTGTCTTCTATCTAACCTATCTCGCACCTGCTTTTTTACTTGCCTCAGTTTTATTTAATCTGTCTCACCTGTCCTGCTTTTTGCTCACCTGTATTTCATGTTTTACTAAATGTTTGTTGTGTTAAACCTTCCTCACCTTAACAACACCTGTCCCATCTGTCCCTCCTGTCCTTCACCCATCCATAAACTCATCATCTTTAGCTGCCTTACTTGCACTGCTCCTGTTCTCTTGTTTGTCGTATACTTAGCTCTCTTGTCTTGTCTTTCAACTGTACCATGTGTTTCTCTTGCAGTTCCCATGAGGACTTTGTGTCTCTGATCCGGAGAGGAGACAGGTCCAAGTTTGACGTAGAGGTCCTGAAACAGCTGATCAAACTGCTTCCAGAAAAACACGAGGTCAAAGTTGCGGTCACCTGTCCTCCAACTGTACACCTTCTCTCTGTCTCCTCTTCATAATGACTTACCCCTACTTTCTCGTGCACCACTTGTCCTTTACCTGTCTAACCCGTAACTTATCAGTCCTTTTTTTGTCCCACTTATAATTGACCTCCCTTACCTGTTCTCTACTTGTCTTATCTGTTCTGTTTCTGCCCTATCTGTTCATGAGCAGAATCACCTGTCCTTTACCTGTCTTACTTGTTCATCCTCAGGTAGAGAACCTGAAGTCTCACCTTGCAGACAGGGACAAGTTGGCATCAGTGGATCAGTTTTACCTGCAGCTGCTGGACGTCCCCAGGTGCGAGGACATCTGAGACTTAGACACTGCTACCTGCTACAAATTAGGAGATGACCAGTGTGGTGTTTACAGAGTTTATAGGGGTTACTGGTAATCCACGACATCATTTGATATTTAGAACCAATATTTTTCAGCGGCTAAAATGAAAAACTTGGTAGCAGAATTTAGAACAACACAAAAGTTTGTTGAAATATTCTTGATTATTTCTGTTTTACATGTTTAATTACAAGACAACTTCCAAACATTTATTCTTTAGTTCTGATTGGCAGATGTCCAGTGGTGTCCAGCAGTAGACAGGACATTGGTCGAATGCACAGAGTGGTAACTGCAGATCTGCATGAGAGCCAAAGTAGCACATTGAATGTAGTTATTTTATTTGGGAATCAGTAACAAAAAATAAATAAATACCAGTACAAGATAATTGTAAAAATGCTGAATATTGAATCTGATAATCTGTAAATAATCAGTCACTAACCACTATATCAAAGGTATATTCACTCGTATTCTGTGTGTGTGTTGTAGCTACTCTCTGAGGATTGAGTGTATGCAACTGTGTGAGGAGAGCAGCTGTGTGTTGGAGACTCTGAAGCCCAAAGCCGAACTGCTGGACCGAGCCTGCCAGAGTCCGTATACACAATAAATACACTAAATACGCACATAAAACATACAAAGTACATGCACACTTAACTCAAGTAAAGCATCACTGAGCTGTAACATAAAACAGCTGCAAGTGGAAATGCACATTGAAAGAAATAAGTTTATACACACTGTAAAGCCGAACAAATGGTGCGAAGAGAACAAGGCCTGTACATAATCTGTAAACTGTATAAAAAAGATGGCATCTTAGCAATTTCCTCCCACCATACAGAAATAAAACCAGAATATGGCAGAAATGAGAGCTGCCATCTTGTTCTGGTGACATCATTTACAACCAGAGTTTGTGCTTGTGCCTGTAAGGAATCAATCACATGCATTTTGTAGAAGTTCACTTTGTCTTTTAGCTACAGATGAATGGAAATTCTTTGGTGTTAAACTGTGTTGTGTTGTGTGTTCAGGTGTGAGGGAGAGCACTCGACTGCCCAGCTTCTGTAAACTCATCCTGAGCGTTGGAAACTTTCTCAACTATGTGAGAATCTTTCATTTTCTCTTATTCTTGGACTCAGATTACTGTAGGATTTCCTTAACCGATCGTCAGCCACAAAAGCAATTAACAATTGATTAAGTGTTCCAAGTGAATGAAATACAGTGGATGTTTTAGCAGAGCTTAACAGAAACCACTGCAGTCTCACTGTTCGGCAACAATGAACTGAACGCTGCCAACAGCTGTGACTGAACATGACTGAAATCAGACCTAACGTGTTGGACACAATGATGAATTTAAACCAAGTGTGACCCCGTTTTTTACATAATCAAAGAACTGCAGTTTTGTTAGCAGCCATTGCTAACAGCTGGATCATATGTCCACAGATACAGATGCCATTTACTACCACTGCTACCATGTCTTTGTACCCAGGGCAAGAAGTGTCGCCAAAACTGTGTAATGAAGATCAGTTTTTGGCTTCTAAGGTGGTGTGATGTGCATTTCATTATCCATCGATATACAGAGCAAACAACCAACAAAGCAGCTCTTCTGCTGACACCATCATGTTTTCTAGTGCACAGGGGAAACAAGTCAGTGTACACAGCTTGTAGTTTATATACAAGCATATGCAAGTCCACTGTTTTAACTTTGCACCCACTGCTGTCCATGTATGTGTGACCATGAAGATAGAGTCCTGCAGGTAATGACCTTTAACAGCTACAGCTTCTCTCTGCCGTCTGAAAGTTCACTGCCTTGTTTACCTTCTCAACTTGGTAGTTTAGAATTAGCATGAACCTCAGACAGCTAACTAATCCGAACAGTTGCCCAATAAAAACTCATCTCAAGTCATCTCAGTACACATTAAGATGCTCCATCTACCACCACCGCAGAATCCTACAGTGAATCTGCAGTACACCTTCAGATAGTTACACCACACATCCCTAATCTTCTCAGTTATTTTTCAAAATGTTTTCAATCAAATAAATTAAGAGCACCTAATGAACAATTAATTGTTGACAGTTCCAGTGCATATGTGTCTGAATTTGCTCATTGTCAGAATGAGCAGAAATAAGCAGGTTATGTTGAGTAGAGCCTGAATCATGTGACAGTCAAGCCATTAGCGGAGCTTGTTTGTGTTTTGCTATAATAAGATGTAAGACACCTCCAGACAAACTGATTTAGCCTGATGTGATGTCATCAGTGATAATGCGATGTCATGTTATGTGTGATTTTGTGTATCAGGGCACTCACACGGGCAACGCTGAAGGATTTAAGATCAGCACTCTGCTCAAACTGACTGAAACTAAAGCCAACAAGTCCAGAATCACCCTGCTGCACCACATCCTGCAGGTACACTGGAAACATCTCACACTGGTTACACTGGTCACACTGGTACAGTACTGAGGGACCATAAGTCAGCTGTTGCTGTTTGTGTGATCATCAGGCGGTGGAGGAGAACCATCCTGACCTGCTGAACCTGCCTGGTGACCTGGAGATCTGTGAGAAGGCTGCTGGGTAAATGAAGTAAACTCTGGAAAATACTAAATAACTCAATCAGTGCAGTCCCTACTGGTTTTCCATCAAACTGTCATTCTCGTCACAGTATAACCACGAAAGATGCATATTATTTTCTATGTGGTATGTCCAGTTTTTGAAAAGTCGAGACAATGAAGAATATAATCGTTGTTAACAAGCGGCTCAGCTAGCAGATCATTCATGAAAACTCCAGTCAAAACATTTCGAAGTAAACATGTCAGCTGTTTACCTTTTTCTGCAGATCAAATATGGAGTCGATTCAGTCCGAAGCAAACTCTCTGACCAAACAGCTGAAAAACGCAGAGAAGAAAGTTTTATCGTCATCTGAGGATGTGAAGGAGCAGTACCTGTCCGCCATACAGGTGAGACACAGCAGACTGCAACCCCTGCATGATGTTTTATTAACTTGTACTTCATCTGGACATTAGCAGGTTGTATTCTAACAAACACACCAGACTTTTAGTCTAAAAGACTGTTAAAGGAATGAACCTGCTATTAGAGTCGTATTTACATGTTCCTCTTCTTCTTCTTCTTCTGTGGTGTGCTGTCAGGAGAGCCTGCAGGCGTGTGAGCAGCTGCAGCAGCTGTTGTCGTCAGTGGAGGACAAGAGGGTGGATCTAGCCGTCTACCTGTGTGAGGACAGCAGCAGCTTCTCCCTCGATGAGCTATTCAGGACCATCAAGACTTTCAGAGACCTGTTCCTCCGAGCCATCAAGGTCAGCAGCCAATCATAAGGCAGGATGACTGACAAAAAATATCAACATGCTGAAGGCACCTGTGTGGAGTACAAGATTCCCTTGTGAAATCATGTATCAAATTAGGCTTGTTGACTTATTTGTCGGGCTGCAAGGTGGTGCAGTTGGTAGCACTGTTGCCTCACAGCAAAAGGTCGCCAGTTCGCGTCCCGATGAGGACACCCGGGATCTTTCTGTGTGGAGTTTGCATGTTCTGCTCGTGCACTGTGGGTTCTCTCTGGGTTCTCTGGCTTCCTTCCACAGTCCAAAATTATGTTGAGGTGAATTGGTGATTCTAAATTGTCTGTAGGTGTGAATGTGAGTGTGCTTGGTTGTCTGTCTCTAAGTGTAGCCCTGTGATAGACTGATGACCTGTCCAGGGTGTCCCCTGCCTTCAACCTGAGTCAGCTGGGATAGACTCCAGCCCCCCACGACCCTAGTGAGGATTAAGTGTGTATAGATAATGGATGGATGGATAGACTTATTTGTTTGCACATTAAAAAAATACAATTGTTATCAATTACATATGCTCAGAAAGACACATACAGAATTTTGTGTCAAGATACTCAGATATACAATAAATTAGTGGCAACAAACGCTTGTGCAAGGTGACATAAATGGATTAGATAATTAGATAAAAAGTAAGTAAGGGACCGCAACAGTATAAGATATAAAATAAGAATACCACCGTGATCATATCGCTCTTAATATTCATGATTCAGATTCAGGATCAAAACTGCTTGTTTGCTTCATTCAAACATCAGAAAGTAAGAAACACAGTTCAGTCACATGAAGCTGAGACGTGGGAGGAAAATAAAATTTTTTGTTTTTTCACCTTTTGCCACTGTGTCATATTTTGTACTTTGTACTGTTTTGGGTTGCAGTTGTTTAACAAACAATATATTTCTGATCATTTTTGTCAATCAGGAGAATGAAAGTCGTGAAGAGCAGGAGAAGAGGAGGAAGAAACGGGAGGAGGAGAAGAAACTCAAAGGAGACGCCACCAACAAGATCAGTAAGTGAAACACAAGTCCACCTTAAATCCATCTGTCTTAAATCCAAAATGCACAAAGAGCAGGC